CCAGATGTCTCTATTTGAAAATTGGGGGGAGCTCCACCCTTTCTTCTTGAGTTGGGGGGAGCCCCACCCTTTCTTCTTGAGTGTATGCTCTCTTCCATCTTTAAAACGGCGACGGAAACAATCAGGACCCCCTCCCCATATCAGGAAAGAAAGGAGGTCTCTTCTTGCCGAAGGGTAAGCGGTGCCCTCTTCTTTCTCATGAAATTAGAGCGGCCTGTTTGCTTTGTTGAGATGGCGCTTTCTTTTGTACCATTAGTTTGGAGGACGCTCTCAGTCTCTTCTTGTCGAGGATGAGGCAGAGGATTTGTCTTTTTGGAAGCTAATTCAGAGCATGGGGTAGAGGGCTGCTCATGTCTTGTTGAAGGGTGAGGGGAGGATCAAACTTTTCTTTTGAAGATTGAGCGAGCTCTGTCCTCACTTCTTGAAAGCTATCCCTCTTCTATCCCTTGAAGAGGAAGAGGGGACGACAAGGAGCTCCTCTCTCTTCTTGTCGACGAAGAGGCAGCCGCAGTTCTTATTGAAACTGGAGATGCGTTGAGCCTTGTCTTCTTAGACTAGAAGCGAGCTCCCTTCAATTCTCTTCAGAGGAGATGGAGACCTACCAAGAGAGAGAGGAGCTCGCTGCTAGAAATCAGCTGAATGACTTGGAGGGCCTCTCTCCGTGTTTTCGTTGAGGGGTGGGGCATCGCCGCCCTTTCTTCTTGAGCGTATGCCCTTTTCCATCTTTTGAAAAGGTAAGGGAAGTAATCAGGATCTCTTTCCACTGCCAAGAGAGAAAGGAGGTTTCTTCTTCTTGTGCGTATGCTGTTCTCCATCTTTTGAAAGGGTAAAAGAAATGCTCAAGATCCAACCCCTTATGAAGAGAGAAAGGAGTTATCTTCTTTCCGACCGATGGGTAAACGGAGACCTTGAATTCTCGTGAAGTTGGAGGGGCCTGTCTGCTGGGCTGAGATGAAGCTCTCTTGCGTCTCATTACATGGGAGGAAGCTCTCAGTGATTTCTTGTAGAGGATGCGGTAGAAAATCTTTCTTTTTGGAAGCTAGGGGAGCTCTGTCCTTTCTTGCTAGGAGCGAGGTCTCTTCAGTCTTCTTAAGACGAAAAGGCGACATACCAAGAGGTAAGAAGAATGCTCTCTTCTGCTGCCACAAATCACCTGGGGACTGCCTTCTTGTTTTGGAGCATGAGGCTTTTTCCGTTTAAATGCTGAGGGATGACCAGATGTCTCTACTTGAAAATTGGGGGAGCTCCACCCTGTCTTCTTGAGCGTCCTCCCCTTTTCAAGAAAGAATGGAGGTCTCTTCTTGCCGAGGGGTAAACGGGGCCCTCTTCTTTTTTGTGAAGTTGGAGCGGCCTGTTTGCTATGTTGAGATGGCGCTTTCTTCTGCCGCCTTAGATTGCTCTTAGTCTCTTCTTGTCGAGGATGAGGCAGAGGATTTTTTTGGAAGCTAATTCAGAGGATGGGGTAGAGGGCTGCTCATGTCTTATTGAAGGCTAAGGGGAGGATCAGACTCTTCTTTTGAAGATTGAGACAGCTCAGTCCTCACTTCTTGAAAGCTATCTCTCTTCTATCCCTTGAGGAGGAAGAGGGGACGACAAGGAGCTCCTCTCTCTTCTTGTCGACTGAGAGGCAGCCGGAGTTCTTTTTTTCCCGTGAAGTTGGAAGGGTTCTCTGCTCATTTGAGATGCTGCGGTAGAGGATGTGCCAAGGGATCTCTTCCTTACCTTTTTGGGGAAAAGAAGCTCATTTCTTGCGGATGACGAAGCAGCGAGCTCCCTTCATTTATCGTCAGAGGAGATGGTGGGAGGAAGCTCTCAGTGATTTCTTGTGGAGGATGAGGTAGAAAATCTTTCTTTTTGGAAGCTAGGGGAGCTCTGTCCTTTCTTGCTAGGAGCGAGGTCTCCTCAATCTTCTTAAGACAAAAAGGCGACATACCAAGAGGTAAGAAGGATGCTCTCTTCTGCTACCACAAATCACCTGGGGACTCCCTTCTTGTTTTGGAGCATGATGTCTTTTCCTTTTAAATGCTGAGGGATGACCAGATGTCTCTACTTGAAAATTGGGGGAGCTCCACCCTTTCTTCTTGAGCGTCCTCCCCTTTTCAAGAAAGAAAGGAGGTCTCTTCTTGCCGAGGGGTAAACGGAGCCCTCTTCTTTCTCGTGAAGTTGGAGCGGCCTGTTTGCTTTGTTGAGATGGCGCTTTCTTCTGCCCCTTTAGATTGCTCTTAGTCTCTTCTTGTCGAATCCTCGAGGCAGAGGATTTTTTTGGAAGCTAATTCAGAGGATGGGGTAGAGGGCTGCTCATGTCTTATTGAAGGCTAAGGGGAGGATCAGACTCTTCTTTTGAAGATTGAGACAGCTCAGTCCTCACTTCTTGAAAGCTATCTCTCTTCTATCCCTTGAGGAGGAAGAGGGGACGACAAGGAGCTCCTCTCTCTTCTTGTCGACTGAGAGGCAGCCGGAGTTCTTTTTTCCCGTGAAGTTGGAAGGGTTCTCTGCTCATTTGAAATGCTGCGGTAGAGGATGTGCCAAGGGATCTCTTCCTTACCCTTTTGGGGAAAAGAAGCTCATTTCTTGCGGATGACGAAGCAGCGAGCTCCCTTCATTTATCGTCAGAGGAGATGGTGGGAGGAAGCTCTCAGTGATTTCTTGTGGAGGATGAGGTAGAAAATCTTTTTTTTGGAAGCTAGGGGAGCTCTATCCTTTCTTGCTAGGAGCGAGGTCTCCTCAATCTTCTTAAGACGAAAAGGCGACATACCAAGAGGTAAGAAGGATGCTCTCTTCTGTTGCCACAAATCACCTTGGGACTCCCTTCTTGTGTTTTGGAGCATGAGGTCTTTTCCTTTTAAATGCTGAGGGATGACCAGATGTCTCTACTTGAAAATTGGGGGAGCTCCACCCTTTCTTCTTGAGCGTCCTCCCCTTTTCAAGAAAGAAAGGAGGTCTCTTCTTGCCGAGGGGTAAACGGAGCCCTCTTCTTTCTCGTGAAGTTGGAGCGGCCTGTTTGCTTTGTTGAGATGGCGCTTTCTTCTGCCCCTTTAGATTGCTCTTAGTCTCTTCTTGTCGAGGATGAGGCAGAGGATTTTTTTGGAAGCTAGTTCAGAGGATGGGGTAGAGGGCTGCTCATGTCTTATTGAAGGCTAGGGGGAGGATCAGACTCTTCTTGTGAAGATTGAGACCAAGCCGCCGAAGAGTCTGCCGGCGACTTCTCGCTCGAAGCGCTGGCCTGGAAGCCGCATATCGATCAGAACGATCGGCGGCCGCGTTGGCCTTAGCGCGGGCTCAGCCACGACATTTCAGCATCGCACACGAAACCCGGACAGCTCAGTCCTCACTTCTTGAAAGCTATCTCTCTTCTATCCCTTGAGGAGGAAGAGGGGACGACAAGGAGCTCCTCTCTCTTCTTGTCGACTGAGAGGCAGCCGGAGTTCTTTTTTTCCCGTAAGTTGGAAGGGTTCTCTGCTCCTTTGAGATGCTGCGGTAGAGGATGTGCCAAGGGACCTCTTCCTTACCCTTTTGGGGATAAGAAGCTCATTTCTTGCGGACTTGCGGATGACGAAGCAGCGAGCTCCCTTCATTTATCGTCAGAGGAGATGGAGACTTACAGGGAGGTAGAGGAGCTCGCTGCTAGGAATCAGCTGAATGATTTGGAGGGACTTTCTCCGTGTTTTCGTTGAGGGTTGGGGGGAATCTCCACCCTTTCTTGATCCGTCTGTCTACATTCCAAGGAGCCCCACCAATGTCGATGAGGCGAGACGAAAGATTCTATACTTGTATTGAGTATGTATAGAGAGACGTCGGTCCAGTACAATCGCGATATACCTACGTCTATAGTATGCAATGAAAACCCACAGTTTCAGCTGGCGACTATATCCTGTTTAAGCCGGCCACGGGGGTCCCCCCCCCAAGTGCTTTTACGGTGGCCCGCTCCGGAAATCAACTTGGCTTAATCAAAACTGGCAGGATCCTCCAAGACGAGGACAAGTTAGGGTGTGGACACAACGACATGTTTCAACCATGCATGCCCCCAAAAATCATGATTGGAACTTCGGAGTCTCGGCCTTGGACTGTTTTGCTTTGCTTTGCTCGGGGTGTGAGGCGGGAGCAGTCCTCCCGCCCCGCGCAGGTGCGCTACCCCATCCACTATTTTCTGTGGACGGGCTCGGCTGTACAAAGTGACTGGTTCCCTGTTGTTCAGGGTAAGGGGGTGGGTTCCCCTACTTTGAAAAGCAGACCAGTAGTAAAAGACCCGGGTACCCCACTCCAGTTGGAACGAAGGTTTTGCGGGCTGTGGCTCCCGGGCTTTTGAGCAGACATGTTCTACGCAGCGCGAGCGGTGCCTTGGAATGTTTTGCTCTCTCTCTCTCTCTCTCTCTCTTGCTTGCTTGCTTGCTTGCTTGCTTGCTTGCAGAGGGGTATGGGCCTCCGGAGAGACCCTGGCCCGTAGGCCTACCCCCACTAGGGTTCGCGTCACGTGTGTGGGCAGGCCCGCGACTTTCCAATATATGGCTCTACTAGCGGGGCCAGCCGAAAAAGCTGTCGAGGTTGCATTGCTCAGGGAAGCGATCGGAAAAGCACTTGGGGGGGGGGGGCTCCCTCCCCCCGGCTAACAAGGAAACCAACTTGAAATCCACGTGGATTAGGGTACCCCCTCCCTCAGTGTTTTTTAAGGCACCCCCTATTAAACCTTAATGATGTAGAACCAGTAAAGCTTAAGCGATGGTTAAGGCCTAACGTGGGCGAAGAAGCTCATGCAGCTTTCCTGGTCCGATAAACACAAAACTCGTCTCTGTGGCTCTTGTCACAGCCACGCACACGTCGGTTTGGGGTCTGTGCGAGCACAGCTTAAGGTCTGTGCTACGGTTTGGCTCTTCGGGTCCCTATGTCTGAAACTCTCAAAGCCGGAACGGTCGACTCACCGGAGCCATTGAGGATGGAAGATGCTGCCAGCAGCAGACTCCATCTACCCTAGACCCTACACAAACCATCAGCCTGCAGCCTGATCAAATCCGAAGTCTCCACCTGCTCGAATGCAGTTCGGGGGGCGACAAGGTGGTCAACAAGGACGGACCTGAGCTTCAAGAGTCGCCACCAGCAAAAACGTAAGCCACACTCAGGTATAGGCTTGGGGTTGACTGTTGAAGCTGGACGCATATGTATATCAGTGTAATATTATACATATATATATATATATGTACACATACATATATACATGCAGGGTTTAGGACCTTTAGGAAAAGGCAACTCAAGCCCTCAACCTGAAAACCAGCCGCGATAAAAGGAGACTAAGTCGTGCGCAGGCGGCTGAACTTGTGGCGCAGGCCTTGCGTGAAGATGATGAATCGCCAAAGACCGTTTATGGTGTGGAACTTGTCATTCACATCTGCGCGGGCTTGAATCAAAGTGGAGATGACTTGGGCAGAGCCCCCTTCGTTGCCTCGACTGCTTTTGAGGACAACGGCAGCAACAGTACTTAATTTCAGTCAGATAATCATGAAGATAAGCAATGTCGCCAGCTAGACGCAAAGCTGAAATCCATTCTTAGCATCACCCAAGGTGCCCAAAGCGAAGTGCAGGCTGTTCTGTAAGCAGAAGCGCTGGTGCCGGCCGAAGAGCTCCGTCATGGCACCCCTGGATCTTTCGAGAGTTACGTCAAGCAACTTCAGCACTGCATCCAAGAAGACGGAATCCGACCATGAGAGCCAAGATGCACAGAGCCAAAGGCGCAGGCAAGGTTTAACGGGTCAACTCCTCCAACAGCGTGCTTTGAGGACTGCACTGCGCAAGCCTCAACTTTGCAACTCACACATCTACAAGAAAGGATCAAGCTTTGTGGCAACTCCTGTTGTGGGACGCAGACGGCGAGAGTGCCGGAACTAGGAAGAATTTTCAACACCTCTTAGGCTTGAGCGGCTTGAGGCTTCAGTGTAGCATTTGTGCATCAGGTTTGCATGTCGCGCCTAGGCCCTAAACCCCAAACACTAAATCAGTCCTGGAATGGCGTGTTGCCCCAAGTCGGCATGCGCTTCGCCAAGCTCTCGAACGGCGGTGTCGTTGTCGGAGATGCAGGCCTTGTGTTTGAATATCTCCATCGTATGGGGCGTTAGGGTTGTTGTGAGGTATTATTGTGGGTCTTGCTAGGGTTTGATGGCTTAAGGTTGTGTAACTCTGTCTGCCTCTTTATGCCTTAATCCGTTCCCCACACCCAGAAGCCTGACCCTCGAATCCCAAAACATGAACCTCGACGACTTGACAAAGTCACGGAACTGCCTGTTGCTTTGATGCTGAGGACTTCACTGAATAATAACTGATGGGTTTCTCCCCACGCCCCCACGCAGAGACCGTTTTGAACGTTGTTCACGAGCTCTGCCATGATTGCTGTTTCCTCGCTGCGCGTACTACAGCGGCCCCTTCGCCGGAAGCATCTGAGGCGAATCAGGGCACAAGGCATCCCCAGTTTCGGGTTGTCTTAGAAAGGTACTAACGCAAAACCATTGTCCGCTGCTTGCTCATTTGGAGCTCTGCGGTCTGAAGGCCTTCTATCAGCACATCTGGTGTTAATGCGTAGCCTAAGCAAGCAAAGCGGGCCTACGGGGGAAAGGCGGGCATTACTTGAGACCCTATAAACTCTAAATGCCATGAAAACAGTACATGCTACGAAAACCGGGGCCCCGAGTCGTAGACCCCGAAGACCAAAACATGTGAACACCCGAATTCAACACTAGAACCTCGCCCAAACCTAAACACTACAGCCTGTACCCTTTAGGGCCCGAAGCTGTGAACCACAAACCCGATAAGCCCTCAGCCCCTGAATCCAACAAGCCTTACAGAATCCATAAACCTCTACATGTATAACGTATAACCCCGAACCACGAAACCGCAATAGAATCTATTGCTGAATCCAGGCTCTGATCCTGTTCAGCTGGAAAGGATCCCTAGCCCCCAAACCTAATCCCTAACTTATGAACCCCCACACCCGAAACCTCTACACCCCAAACCCTCGAAAACCCGAAACCCTGTAACTCGAAACCCTAAACCTCGCAACCCTAAAGCCATGCAAACCCCTAACCCCCCCCCCCAAAAAAAAAAACAAAACCCAAAAACCCTCGTGACGCTATACCCCGTTTAACCCACCAACAATCCACAGAAAAGTGGCCCAATGAAGCGGAGTCTTCCGATGGCTGTCGCAGGCATAGAGACTCGCCCTGGCAGCCAGGAGCACCTGGGCTCTGGGTTCTAGTAGGGTTTTTCCCCCTATTCCACCCTGACGTAGGGTATAGGGCTGTTTTATGTGTAGGGTTGCAATCGGGTTTGGCAACTTCTTCTCATAAGGTTTTTGAAGGTTCTTCGGCGTTCTTTTGGGTTTGGTAATGTCTTCTTCCGAATTCTGCAGTGTTCTTTAAGTTTAGAGTTAAGGGCTTGTAGGGTTTAGTCAGTCTTATGGGGTTCTTGAGGGTTCTTTGGGATGTAGGAAATTTCAGGTTTCGGGTTTGTAGGGATTGGTAAGCTCTATACGGCTCTGCAGGGTTTAGGGCGGGGTTTGTAGGCTTGATAAGGCTTGTAGGGTTCTTCAGGCTTTAGGGTTTGTGGGGTTCGATAAGTTTTATGGATTCTTTTAGTGCGGGCTTATCAGAGATAGTACAAGGTTTGCTTTCGCCTTCGACAGGCTGGCGAGGTTACCAGGAGTTCGCTGGACTTAGGTGACCAGCACCCTTGGTCACAAGCTCAAGCAAGAAGACATGTGTCCTCAATTATAGCCCGAAGCCGACAAGAACTGCGAAAAGCCTCGGTGTGAAACCCCCCACCCGTCTAGGAGGACTCCCAGCAAAGATTGCTGGCCTCCACTCATGGAGAAGGCTTCCATAGGCAGTTTAGGGTATGTTGCAAAGGTAGCCCTAAACAAGGTTGCAGCAATGCTGCATCCTTTGGTAAGTGCTGAGCCTATACATCGTCAATACATGAACCCTAGTGTGAGCCCCTTTGCAACTCGTAGAACGCTGTGATTAAAACCAAACCACGTGAACACGATCTGCTTAAGCAGAACTCGCCGAGCGACGGAACAGCCCAAAACCACAACAAGTCCGATAACCCTCTCACACCCAACTTTTAGTGCAGCTGGCTTGCAACGTCCCGCGGCTTGATACCTAGACCCTAAAACCCACAATGACTCTAAACCCTATCAAACCCTCTCAAACCTACCTAGAACCTACAGCTCCACACCCTAAACTGCAAGGCCCCGAAGCCTATCAAACCCCCTTCCATGCCCAAACCGATGGCCTGCAGCGCCCCGGTGTTGTGGAAGTACGCAGCAAGAGCGAGGACTGACATACCCTTCGGGAACATGAAGTCCTCCAAGACAAAGAGTCTCGAAGGGGTTGTTGGGTTTAGGGTGTCGGGCATGCACTCATCCCGACACAGGGCTCTTTGTGTTTATGAGTCCTGGGTAAATTTCAGACTTTGAGACAGGTTTATGTGGCTCACGGGTGAAGGTAGAATTCAGGTATCAGCGTGCAGGGCTCAGGACTTGTAGGTCTTTTTGGAGCTCCTTGTTGGCAGTGTATCCGAGTTGGGATGAAGTTCTGTAGGGTTTCGGTGTTGGGGTTGGGGATGGTTAAAGGTTGCGGATTGGGGTTGTTTAGGGACAGTTGGCCTTCAGGGATTGGGAACGTGAAGCATCATGACTGGGAATAAATATTTTGGCTCGACCTTTACAGGTTGAGGGAAATTCAGCCCTTCATTTCGGACATGGGGTTGTTCTGAATGCGTGTGGCTCCAAGCTGGTTTATCCTGTTACCACAAATAAAAAAGGAACAGAACAGGGCCAGAAAAGCCGTCCATACTCACACAGCCAACGGCCACGAAGCATCCCGACATACAACAGGCTTGCAATGGGCCGTCCTTCTTATGCTTGCTGATCCGATCGTTGCAGTCCGCTTTGCGCTCCAAAAGTGCAGAAATGAGGGATGGGCTCCCAGCCATCACAGCATAACCTTGGAAGGTTCGCAGTACGTTCAAGGCCTTCGGGGTATGATCCGAGCGTGAATCCATGACCTACAGGATATATGCATGCATGTATGTAGTACAGCCATTCAAGCCCCAACGGCTGCCCTGGAAAATGTTCGAAGTAAGAACCCAAAGGGTGGCATGTCATTCGATTAGCGCCTACAAAAGTCATCTTTCCCGACCAAGCCGCCCAAAACCCTGAACCAAGGCACACAGTGGAGTCCATCCAGCTGGGTCTCGCGAAATGGGCTCCTGGAAGCCGTTCTGATGAAGAAACCTGACGGTGATCAGAAAGAGTACAGTATAATTTCGATTAGGACCAGAAGTGGATAGGATTTCTTACAAGCTAGACCCCTGTGTTACAGCCGGCCCAATGATGGCCCAAACACCACTCCACCGCCACGTCGAGCGGAGCTGTGAACGGGTCGGCCTGCCAGAAACAAAGGTGGAATCCCAACTTTACCAACTGGTAAGTACTTACCATGAACCCTAAATAAATCCTACGGTATTGTATCAACAAGCATGCTTCAAAGCAAAACTGCGCCACTTGAAGAATACGCTCCACAAGCTTCGGCTGAATTTTTCGGCCTGGGACTTGAAGTAAGGAACCAGGGCATCAATGGGATCGATGTCTGTGTTCGCGAAGAAGAAGGCAGCCTACCGCTCGGCGGTGCTGAAGGCTTTACGGATGCAGGCGGATGATTTCGGAGTTTACCCAAAGGCCTCAAAGTAGTTCCTTTTTGGGGTTCATATACAGAATCCTATACGTTAACCCCAAAAAAGAACTACTTTGGGGCCTCTGGGTAAAGGCTTCAGGGTTTCAGAGGCCCTTGCGCTGCGTGCAGGTGCAAGCCTGAATCTTCCAAAACGAGGTGCCCTAAACCCTGATCAAATGGGAGTTTCCAAAAATAGGGTAATATAGTACCCTAAATACAAGTAGTAGGATCCTTACTATACGGACAACCAAGTAAGGTCCCCCTAATTTTCGGAAACTCCCTCAAATAGCAAACCCAAAATCCCAGACTTCGCCCTGAATTGTCTGCCTGCTGGTTCAGAAGGAAACGATAGTTGTGCAAGTCTCCCTGCTCGAGAAAATACCTTGCTGTGGCGAGATGGGGGGCTTCAGAACATTAATGGTACTTGAGTTAGGGGGCCCCGTCGTATGGATGCAATGTATTGCACTATAGTGATCTAGGGTCCCCCGTATTTGCTGATCTCCAGCTGTCACCGCAGCTTGAACCTCATGAGTAGTCTACGCCCTTAGCCCCTTTACACAAGCACAGGGCGCCTTGGCACTGCACCCGGCACTAGTACGAGCCTGTACCAGCTGAAGGCCACAACCCGCAACAAAAAAAGAGCCATGCCAGAGTAAACTGGGAATGCTTGACACCCGGCACTTGGTACAGTTTAGGGTCCAGGCTCAACTGAAGGGAATCTTGAAACCAATTATTAAAATCAGGCTAACAGCATTGACATTGGTACGACTACAGGGTCTTGCTGTGCGGATCTCCAAGGTGCAGCAGCTTCTTCCAGACCATTTGCAAGATGACCCGCCCGATCCGGCTCCGATCAGACTCCACGCTGAACCTTGGAGTGGGTACGGGTAAGGCCAGTTGTTGCGTACCTGTAGCTGGGACACGGAATGATACTCAACAACCTTCCACGTGATGTTTTCACCACTCTGGTTCTGGCTGCATGCGTTTGCAGACACCGCTGTTCGTGTAGTGGCCTTCATCCTTACCGTCGTGTATTGCCGGTGCGATATGTGGTATGTTTACTATTGGAATAAGGGGCACTGGGGAACGGTATTCATTCTTCAGGCCCTATCTGTTTTGCCCCTCATTTTGTTTGAAGGGTCAGCCTCGGCTTCGTCGTTAGTTGGGAAAAGCAGGGCAGCTTCGAATTCAGGCATCGAGTGGGTAAGCCCAAAACGAAGATATCCGGCCTGAGTGACTACGGTTGTTTAAGATGCTGTGCGGTTTCTAGAAGTTGGGCTTGGCTGGGCAGCGCCTGGCCCATGTCTTCATGACGGGGAACAAACATCGCGCCTGCCCGGATTTGTGTGGAACGGAATGCAGAAGCGCGACGGTCCCCAACTACCCCTTCTTGTATAAGCATGATTTTCCAATTCAAAGACTATAAGGGCTCCATGGTTCTCCACCATATATTTGGATGGACATTAAGCAACCCTAATACGGCCTCAAGGTTTATCCGCCCCGGTAAAACCCCCACGACACCAAAAGAACCCTCTCGCCGAAGGGGCTTTCCCAGGCCAGGCGCGTCGATAGGCCTTGCAGAATCGATGGAACAAACAGTTTGCTTTAAGACAGGCTTTAGTTGGGTTTAGGGTTTAAGGTCTAAGGGTTTCGGGTACTTTAGTGCTGAGGCCTCTTTGCAGTTTCATTGCTATGCCATGGCTATTCTCGTTTTGTGGACTTGCTTTTTTGGCAAGGGAGCGGGGGGGGGGCGGTTTGCGGTTTAACGGTATTCAAGCGTAACTGCGCCCCTGCACGCCGGCTTCCAGTAACAAGCGGACATTCTCGACTAGACCTTTGACAGACGCGGCAGTCAAAGGTCTGTTCGTTTCGTGGCCTGCCAGGTCTGAGTCAGCACTGGCCTCAAGCAGCAGCCAGAGGATCTCGAGATGGCGGTAGACACCCGTCGGAATCGAAGGTGTGTACTGTGTAATGACCCTTTGTTGACTGCTTTGTCCTTGTGGCCCCGGCCTCTATATCAGTGAGAGCAATCTCGACGCAACCGTTGAACGACGCCTCAGCCAAAGGTGTGTTGTCTTCGTTGTCTGCCAAGTCTTTAACCGCACCGTCCTCAAGCAGCAAGCTGACGATCAACGGCCATGTCGAGCAATAGTCAAAGGTGTGTACCCTTCGCTGGCTGCTTTGTCGGGATCGTGGGGCAGCTGCAGCATGCGCTCAACCTCGGTCAGCCAGCCCTTCGAAGCCGCGATTGCTAGGTCGTCCAGCAGCGATTGCGAAAAGTCGGCGAATGCCAACACCACGAGATCCAGGTCCATGGGTGAACGCAGCCTGGCCGTCTCCTGCAAAGTCTCGCCGCGGTAGAGGAGCCTCTGTCTGAACCGTGGAAGAAAGCCAGGCAAGTGATTCTAGCGGCGCTGCTTCATGCCTCTGACGTCGACAAGCTTCTTCACAGCTCCTCCCCAGAAACATCTGCCACTGTTTCTCCTGAGATCATCCAGATTTGCAGCATCTTGTCGGAATCACGGAATACTCGAACAGGACGCCTGTTTCTGATCATATAAACACTGGAAGTCAGACTGCCCCTTTGAGCCAACATGGTCGGTTGCAAACTGTCTGGTCTCTGAAACCACCAGACACATGCTAGAAGAATCCAAGGGAAAGCAAAAGGAAACCAACTTTTCCCCAAATGCAGCCCCTCCCGAATATCCGCCTATTAGAACTCATATGGGTGGTTGTCAAAAATATGGTCCCTTTTTGGGTCCTTACTATACTGCGGCAGCTAATATTTGGGGTACCCAAAAAGGGACCATAATTTTGACAACCACCCATATAGTCTCATATACTAAATCATGTAGTAGATCCGGCAAACACTACACAGTATCAGGCCTCGCGGTGTGGAGCGCCAGCGTTTGACGCATCGCGCTCTCCTTGGCTCCAAGATTCCAGGCTAAAGCTTATAGGACATTACGATCTGCGTTTGGAATTTTAGTTTAAGGTACAGAGCTTCAGTGAGGGCTCTGGGTGAGCTAGAAGATGTTTCCAGGGCCTATGCAAGTCTACGCTTGAGAATCTTAGGGTTGCTGGATTAGCGCTGATGGTTTCACCACTCTCAGTCGGACTGGTTTAACGAGAAAAGGTGATGTAAGGTGTTGTGGAGGAATGCCCACCATTGGCGGGATCCTGGGTTTGAATCAGGTTCCTACATTAGGGTTCAAGCTAGGTCATGGGGCTCAGGGTGTGCGCTGGCCCGAGTGTGCTCGAGGATGTTTGAGTAATGGCTATACGTATAGGATTGCAGGAAGCACGGCATACCGGAGAAAAACGAGATTGAGTGTCGCTAGGTACTAGTGTTCTTCATGGTCTCACCCCGACTTACTACGTACGACCACTGGTTGCAGTTCTGCATCCGTCTTCCTAGCCCTCAACCCCGAACCCCAACACTTCCGAAAACATAACTCAAGCATGCTAGACCCTAAAACCTGATGATGATACCTGTGCTCGGCCGCCAGTCTTCCTAGGGCTTAGAGCATGACGTCCCCGAACCTTTCAAGTCTTTGCGATTTTTTAGGCCAAGGGTCTTTGCAGTTATGGTTCAAGCTTTTTAAGACGTTCAATCGTTTTTCGGGTATCATAAGGGAGTTTTCGAAAATAGGGGACCCTAATATAATACCCTAAATAGTAGGATCCCTATAACAAGGACCACAAAATCAGGTACCCCTAATTTTCGGAAACTCTAAACCCTATGGAACCCTTATCGATCCCTTTAAGGATCCCTTAAAGGATCCCTTTAAAGGTACCCTTAATTTTCGGAAACTCCCACAAGGGTTGAAGCCTGAACCAGAGATTTGCGAATCTGGCGGCCACGACGAGGATGCAGCCGTCCTTTAGGGACTAGACAGGCGGGCTGGTGCTTGGGGGGATGCTGTAGATAGGCCCTACCTTAACCCCGAAGAACCTACATTTTTAGGGACTTATATAAAGAAAATATAATAAGGAACCCTCGAAAGGTAGGTTATTCAGGGTCAAGGTAGGGTTTGGGATTTAGGACTCTAGGGTTCCAGGTTTCAGATGTTTGGTAGCAGGACCTGAAAGGAATAAGAAGAATGAAGTTCTTGGTTGAACTCAGTGATGCTTGCCAAAAGAGTTTTGAAAGGACCAATCTGCCCGAAGAAACCCAAGGCGACGGGCGACTGTCGATCTTTTGCAATGGGTTCCTTACAATCAGGATCGCACGCTTGGTTTCGCCTTGGGGGAACGCTCCGCATCCTGCAGGAAAGCGCGTGAAGCTCTCATTCCTCGTGAACAAGCACAGGTCCTCGTGACACAAGCACAGAAAAGCCAGAAAGCCAACAGAACATCGAACAATTCATTCCCCGTACCTCTAGCCTGTTCATCTCCATCTTACACCCTTTTCTACAAGCACGAACTTCTGCACTTCTGTCTGCCCTATAAGCCCTAAGCCGATCAAGACCTCTTCAACCAAAAACCGTCAACCGCCATCCACAAAGAAGCAACACCTAAACATATCTGCACACGTTCTAGGCTAAGCGGCCTTAACCCTTCTAGGCCAACCTTGCTAGAACCATAAATAAAGCATACTCACTGGACGCATGCCCCAACCCGTACAACCTAGAAAACCATACAGGCACCCCTTGCAACCCTCCTAATCCCCATCCTAAATCCTAATCGCTTTTTTGGCCTAGGCACCCTAAGCCCTGTTCGCATCCAGGCCTCTTCGAACCGCCGGGTACCCCTCCCTAAAACCCCAAAACCCTAAACCCCAAAAAACTAAACCCTAGACACTAACCCCAAACCCCAAGCCCCAAAACCCTAAATCCCAAAACCTGTGAGTGCTCTCCACATGGAGGAGACCTCGCGGGCTGCGAGCTTCCGTGCCAAGCGTTCTGCACGACCTTTGATCCAAGAGAGCGGGAGCTTAGAATGAGGGTTTATGGGTTTAATCAGGGTTTAATACAGGGTATAGGGTGTAGTTACGGGAAGGCTTAAGGGTTTAATATAAGGTATAAGGTTCCAGGTCAAGGAAAGCGCTAAGGGTTTAATACAGGGTTTCTGCTCGCACACTCGCTCAAGGATAGGCTTAGTGAGCGTTACTTTCTGTGAAGAGGTTAAGACAAGGCCTTGAGGGTATAGAGGATTCTGAGCGGCTGTCAATACTCTCAGTCTGGGTTTGCAGGGCTCCATAATTACTACGGGAACTAGGTTCACACTCGCAGACAACCTGTTGGTGCACAGCTTCTGTGAGGTGGCAGATAAGCACAGTCATGAACAGTCTATGTATCTATGTATAAGTATGTATGTATATACAGATCTATCTATCTATCTGTCTATATATCTGTATATGTATATATGTAGTGTGTATATATATATATATATATGTGTGTGTGTATATATATAAGTATATTTAACGGTATATGTACGTCTTTTTTTGTATACGGATACGTCCACATGTCCACATGTATTCTTGTAAAATGCAACACGTAGATATACGGAGACATGACACTAATTTCGAGTCCTGCGGGACTGTCCTATACCTCGATCAGTATCTAACATCTTGAAGCCCGAAACCCTGATCCTAGCTCCAAACCCCAAATCCGTACTATATAGGGATCTTAAATTTCGAGTAGGGTTTTGGGGCCCATTATACTAAAAGCAGCTTATAAGCATAATGAGGAGCCCCCCCCCCCCCCCCCCCCCCAACAAAGAAAAGTACAAGTAATTATTCAGGCCCCTATATTGGCTTTTGGAGTCTCTCGAGCCTTTCTGCCGAGTCGCACCAGCCACGTTCCGCCCAGGTCGCTTCACTCAGGACGAAGCCCTGGCAACGAAAAGGGCCATCAACAAAAATCCGATCGCTAAACTCCTATTGCCTTTAAGACGGTGGTTGGTATTTGACTCCCGGCCTTTGAAAGGGTTTGGGCTCTGTCGCGGATTTTACACGAATCCTTCGAACTTCACTGCAAAAATCCCCAGCCCTGCCCGAAAGCCCCACAGTTGATCCACAACTCTGAAACTGTAAAGCCTCAGATGTCAAACGGCAAACCCTCAACTTCCTACAGCCGGGAAACCCTGAGATGGGATGCCCTACAGCACCCCTACCACTGTTGTAACCCTATGTTGCTGGAATTGCCGTCTTACGAGCCTCGTTTCAGACCTTTTTGGCCCCAAGGCTCGTTTTGTTGATGTGTTTGCTGCTTTCATTATGAAGGATGCGCAAGTGATACGGATCTGTTTCCTTTATTACTGACAAAACATGAAGGGTTCTGTACGTACATCTGTATGTAAGGTTTGGATGAACGTATATACGAGGTTCTAGTTTGAATATTTCGCCGCTAATTTGCAACAGGCTTCTCTCGCCCGGAACAGCTCTTCCGTCCCTAGCCCGAGACCCCAAAGATGCACGGCGAGAGCAGGTGAAAGCCGCCTGATCCTTGTGCGGCAGATTGGGGCAAAGTACGACGAAGTACCTCACTGGCTACTCGCATGGAGATCTGGGCTAGTGCAAACCAGCCTAGTTCTAACTCCAACTAGACGGATCCACGAGGGACGAGGCATTTTCTCGAAGCGACATGCCGCGGCCGCTGATGTTACGCTGAGAGGAAGACGGTTAAGCCCTTCGACAACCTGCACATTCCGTGACTGTGACCCACAGGCACACTCGACTAATATGAACCCTAAGCTTGACTCTATGGTTCTGTCCGCATGCAAGTCCCTAACATGGCTGCTTGCACGTGAACGGGCTGATGGGCCGAGAGACTTAAAGTGAAATTCCTTGAGACACACACATGTATGTATATATATATATATATGGTAACCCCCCCCAGGACCAACCTCGGCCATTGTCCTGCTCATTACTGTCTTCACAGCGTCATGAATAAGAGCCGAAACCACTGTAAATACCGATGGTGTTTGTGTTCCCGTACAAAGTTTGCACTCTCGACGCCTCTTGACAACTGGTAAAAAACAGGGTCCAGTTTTATGGACACCATTTACACTCTCGGCGCGTCTTGTCGGAGTGGTATAAGACAGAGTCCAGTTTGTGTGCCTCATCCTTTATTAACTATTGTCATCTTGTCAAAGTCTTATTCTTAGTTTCAGTCTTAAAAAACAGTGTTAACATTGGTCTTGACCTAATTTTGTTCTAAGTTTTAACCTCAATTATTGTGAGTAGTAACCTTAATATTTTTGCCAGCGTGAGCATTATTATTAGTTTTGTGTCATTACTAATTTTAGAAGTTCTAACAATGCTGCTGGTATCTGTCCAATATTACTGTTCGTTTGATTAGTGTTCCTGTTAGTGCTGATGCTGGTGTCAGTGTCAACGTCAGTGTTAGTCTTAATACTATAATATGAGTATTAGTGCTCCAGCTTAATTTAATATATGTCTATAGCAGTGTTAGTGTTAGTGTTCGTGCTGGTATTCGTATTAATATTAGACGTGGGCTGGGCTTTAAAATCTTAGTCTTAGTACATTATGTGTATAAGTATTCATATGTGTATATTCAGTATATTGGTATATAAACAAAACATATATATTAAGAAAAAAAATTTGGGGGTATACTCGTATATTGGTATATTAGTAACAATGGTCTATTGGTATATCAGTTTCTCAGTATATTAGCATATTAATTAATTAGTATATTAGTATAATACTATCACCATACATATTGGTAAATGAAAACATTGAGTTTTTAACAATCTGATGCATTCATTTTCTTGTGCCTTATTCCGATGTATTCTTTAGCATACATTACCAAAACCATATTGACATTAATATGATATTTGTAAGTTCATATTGGTATTGATATTAATATGAGTATGTAATAATCTTTCTATATTTGTATGAGCACAAATAATTTGATTAGTATTATGCATGTTCGTATTAGCCGAAGTATTAGTGCTCATATTAATATCAATATGGTTCTAAAGAGACTATTAATGTCGGTATTCGTACTGAGAATAATTTTGTTAAGAACATGAGCATAAATACCCGTAGGAATATTCATACCTATGCTTGTATTGGTATTAATACTCGTATTAGCATGAGTACTAGCATTAGTACGTATCTAGGCATGACGATTCTTATATGAATATAAAAGGGGAACATGATTATTAGTATTCGTAAGAACATTAGTTTTCCTATACATTAATGCTAACTAATATTACTATGCATATTAGTATTGGCAAGAACATTACAGTTCGGGTTCACATCAATTCTAAAATTGGTATTGGTACAGTTTTTTCCAATATTAGGAGTAGAAACTAGTAGTAGAATTAAAATTAGTATGAACAAAACATGCGTTGGTATTCGTCGGAATATGAAACTTGAGGTTACTCTTCGTATGAGTTACTAGTACTACTGAAAAAATACCAATGCTGATGTAAATACGAATGTTAACATTCATGTATGAGCATTTTTTTATGCACGTTCGCACTAGCCTTAATGCTAACAGTAGCATGGCTATGAGTACTCCGAAAATGAGTAATTTCACGAATATGCGTAGCCAATATTCATACTAGCGATAATACTAGCTATAGTATGTATATTAGTATTCGCATCAAGACTATTCTTACAATGTACATGATTTCAAGTATTCTTGGGAACATCAGTATTCATACTAGCATTACTATCAGTTTCACTAGTAGTATTACTATAAGTATTAGCACTCGTACGAGTCGAGTATTATAGTTTTCAAAGTTTTCAAAATAATATCAATATTACTACAAGTATCAGTTGCACAGACACGTCAACCGGCGACGTCGCGAGGTCGAGTTCCCTAAATTCTCTAATCACTGCTTCCATGCCTCGAATTTACAGAATGCGTGAGTTCCTGCAGACTCCCTAAATCCCTAAAGTCTTTACATACCCTAATTTCCAGCCCCATGTGTTGGTTTTAGCACATTCCCTAACATTCCTGACTCCCAGCCAGGACCATGTGTTGGATTTAAGGAATTCCCTAAATTCCCTAATTTCCCTAAATTCCCTAATTCCCTACCCCATGTGTTGGACTTGGGGAATTCCCTATTTCCCTAAATTCCTTAAATTCCCTAAATTCCCTAAATTCCTCAAATTCCCTAAATTCCCTACCCATGAACGGAAACCATTGAATCTTCTCCATGGGGGTCAGACTTAGGGAATTTAGGGAATTTAGGGAATTTAGGGAATTTAAGGAATTTAAGGAATTTATGGAATTTAGGGAATTCAGGGAATTTAGGGAATTTACGGAAATAGGGAATTCCCCAAATCCAACACATGGGGTAGGGATTAGGGAATTTAGGGAAATAGGGAAATACCTAAATCCAATGGGTAGGGAATTAGGGAATTCAGGGTTGGTCTTGGGGGGGGGGCTAGCATATATATATATATATATATATATGAACACAACACGTCGAGACAACGTGAGTTGTCACACACTCCGCTTTAGCAGATATCTTGCATGCAAAGCCGATGTGTCAGTTCCCGAACTGCCCCCTCCACGTCCACCCTTGCCCCGGAATTGCACCGCAAGGGTCAGCCCCCCAAAGAAAACCTTAAACACTTGCCTGCCTCTCAACCCAACAAGAATCCTGCCCAGGTGCACGCAGCGCTCGATGTAGGAGACGATGCTGTCAATGGCTTGCTTCTGATGCTCTTGGCCACGTGAATCCGCAGCTTGCGGGCACGACACGTAGTCGTACCTAGGGTTTACAGGTTACGGGTTTCAGGCTGTAGATACTATCGGTCGTCGAACCCTCCGGAAGCGATTCGCAAAACTAATCGACCGAGCGGTTTGTACAAACACATTTCAACAAGAACCGGCAAGCCCCACGGAGCACCCAAGCCGAGCTGCCCCTGACGTGATGAAGCAGAGCAGGAGAAATATGTTTTCATGTACGGAAAAAGAACCGTCCATCGCCGTTCATATTGTTTGTCCCAAAGCACAAGCAACAAGAGCAGAACAACAGCAGACACGGCACCCTAACATTAAACCCTCTTGCCTCTACATTCTTAAACTACCCTGAACTATAACTGCATATGTACCCCAGTCGTACCAGCGGGCTCGTCCGTAGTGGGAGCCAGAAAGAAAACCAAAAACATGGAGCGAGCAGCAACCGTCGCGTTACATGTCTTACCCGGTTTGTTTTGATTTCAAGGGTACTAAGCTGCCCATGAGTTTTGGGATGTTTTGGGGGTTGTTGCAGCAGTCCTTACCCCCTCAAGACCCAACATCAACTGTTTCGTGCCTTTGGCTACAAGTAGCTGTTTGGACCCGCCCTCGAGCTGGCACGGCCCCCTTGACCTAATGATGAGCATGTTCGTCCTCGCCGCGAGCATCACCGATAAACTTGTAACTTATGCTCGAACCTCTTGCCCGCCAAGCGTCCAGATGAACAGTGGCTTGGATTGGAAGTCCTGGGATGCGCAAAGGCAATACTTGGCCCAAGACTTCCATGTAGTTGCTTCTATTATCTACTACAGGTTTGCAATACTTTTTTCACTCTCGCCCTGTTCCTTGATAATTGAGGATCCTAGCTGGAATGCTGGCTATTGCAAAAAGGGACAACAGGGCGAATCCTCAAACCCAAGCATCCAAGTCCTCACAACCTGAACCCTAGATGTGCCAATTTAAGGAGCCGGGCCGTCGGAACAATCTGTTACAACAGAAAGATTGGAATGTAGTACCTACTAAAACAACCTGTAGCCAAGCTCTACAGGAAAATTCGGCTAGCATCAAGGCACCCGCATGCCGGAATTTGCTGCCACGAGTAACAATACCTTCCTGCTCCATCATCAAGGGCCAGACAAGCCCTTCCATAAGGAAGATGGCATCTGTGGTCTGTCTGGTGGCCTCCCTACAACCGTGCCAAATAGGTCACGTCGGTGTTCCCATCAAAGACCCTGAAGCAACAAACCACAGTCATAAACCACAGATAACCGTCACTGGCCTCGCGCGAGAGGGTGGAATGCCGGCCGTAGAAATACTCGCTTTGGATTGGGAGTGTCACAAGGCTCCTGTCCAGACTCCAAGGGAAACGTGCCGTCCCTCGTGCTCCGGATCTAGGACTAGGATATGTTCACGTTACTTCGGGAGCCAGCAAAACACTCCCAGGTTTCTGACTCATCATGTCACACAGCTACACAAGGTGAAATACTTTCAGAAGCGGCATCAATGTGGGACGAAAACCCTTTCCGCGATGGCTTTGCAGAAACGCATCCACTGGCAACAGGCATGCAGGAACAAATGCGTGGACAGTATTTCACTCAACTAGAGAGCACTGGCAATGCTGCTGCCCATTCAAGGAACAAATACTTCCAAAACCGCACGCTCCAACAACCACCTGCACAACTGCCAGCGCGCCTTCCGGAATACAGGTTGCGTATCGCTTCTTGAAGCACCTCGGAGAAACAAGGTTATGTGAAACGGCAATAAGAAAAATCCGAAGCACGAGAGACTGCAACCCAAACCAAAAACAAAAAATTGGGCATGGGGCAGCACGAAACATCACATGGAAAATTGAAGCAGTACGGCGCTGCAAACATTTGGGTCATTTCGATTTGGTAGATGCATCAACTGAGTTATAGGGGTGTTAATGCCAAGTGGCAAACCCCGAAACCCCTACACAACCCCCTTCAAGCCTAGAAACTTCTGATCCTTGAGAGCACAACCGAAGCTCGCGGGTGTGATCTAACACATAAACAAAAATCCAGGGTCGAGTTTATGTGCTACATACTGCCTGCGAGAGCTTCCCGGCAGAGGCGATAGAAGTGCAACCCCTCAAAAAACCAAGTCCGGCAATGGAGCACTTCTGGAACCCGAAACTACACTCCGGCTGGTTCGGGTTGACAGGGCGCCTTCCACTGCTGAGCCTCAGGGTCTGGATGCTCATTGGCAAGCCACTGGTGCGAGATGAACATCGCCCTGACATCTCATAGGCTGCTTGGTTCAAGGCTTTGAATCGTTGCGAAAGCTCTTCCTGCACCGAGGACGAGTTGGGTCATCAGCCACCAGGCTGTTGCAATGAATAGATCAGCGGGCATCGGAAACCGAAGTAAGTCACCACAAGCCCAATAAGCGAATCTTTCAGGCATCTTCAAGCCCTCCCCCCATGAACATACGAAATCCAGTTCCAGGGTTGAGCTCTTCAAACACGGGGATTGGAGTTCCAGAAGGGCTTTCGGTAATGATCCCCGGAATGTTTGAGCTGTTAGGATGTAAGCACAGGCCGCTGAGAAAGCAGCATTCAAGCAACAGCGCTGCCTACCCAAAACTTCCTCGAACTCCACCAAGCTCCCTTGATTCAGGAGCTCCTCGCCAAAGCACGAATACGCACTTCGCTGGTTTCGGTTGAAACAAATTATTGCCGTGTCTGGCGTGCCATGGGGTATACCGCCGAGCTAAAATCTCTGCATGCGCGACATGCTGATAAACAATGGTGCGTGATACATCTGAACATGTTTCGCTCCCTCACTTCTAAACTGTCACTCGAACGTGCGCAACTCAAATATCCGACTAGTGGTCCCGGTCAAAACCCGATCCTCGTGTGGACGGACTGCGGTCATGCGGAGGAGCGTATCCATGGGAAGCGTATACATTGGATACGCCTCAGCTTCTTGCAACAGCCCGCAGCCACGAGAACGGAACCAACGACCAAAACATCATGCTGGCCTGCAATAGCTAAGTGCACCACAAGCACTTGCTTTGTTATCTTTGCTTATGTCCGTTCGAGGTCCTTGGAGTATGCATGGCTATTGAACATGAAGAAAAATGGATGCTCTACGCGACGGCCGCGGGGAGAAGAGCATATATTCTATAGGTACATGTGTATATATGAACACACACACATGTGTGTGTGCGTATGATATGTTCATGGGTCATCTCTTGTTCATGCAATGTATGTATGCCATGTGTAAGTCTTGCGCAGGCTCTGTACACAGGCAACAGTGCAACACCTCAGAGCTGCTTGCCGAGCCAGCGGCCAAGTTTTCAACCAACGCTGGCGTAGAATCGGAAAGCATCGACAAGCTCCTTGGTGCAGTTTCACAGCATGCAATGCCAGGTCAGGATTCGGATGAAAGCTTTCCAGGATGTGAGCAGCGACATCGACATATTTATATTCCCACGACTTGCTCTCTCAGAGATTCATGACACGGCAACTTGGAACCCATGGGCTCCAAGCGCAAGAATCACCATTGACTTACTCGTCTGCACCACTCTTGCGCCGCTCCTACGACAACTGCAAGACTTCTTGCTTGCCCATGTGCTTTCCAAGATTGCAAGCATCAGCATATCGGCTGAGCGGGGTTTCGGTGGTGTGCATGGCGTGTGAAACGGGCGGTTGTCGCCGCACTGTAAATTTGGCACCCCGTAAACAGCACAAAAACAATCCATTCTGATGGGTTGCGAAGCAGTGAGGCGTTCAAACCAAACAACAATCAACCACCGCTTGGTTGTTTTTTGCCTGGACGGTTGCGTGCATATCCTGCTGGTTGGGGTTCTTGATCCGAACAACATAAGGATTTAACGGCAGAATATGGCGCGAGTGATGCTTTCGCGAGCTTTGCATTAAAAAATCACCACCGGCATTCGTATATTCCATGCACTCCTTGTCAGAACTGCGCGCGGGAAACCCAGGTCCCTGTGCCAGTATCCTGTACGGACGTGCTTTGACGTGCACAAGCTGGACGCGGCCGTTGGCGGCCTGCAGGCGCGCCACCGCCGAGCTCGTGCAAAGCAGCGAGGTCACCAGCAGAACAGATCTCCGCATCCGCGGGAATCGAGAGCGCGCCAAGGGTAATGTCAAACACGCCCCACAAACATGTCAAACGCTATCTAAACACGGTGGAATGCTGCATCTATGCAATCCATTGTAATCCTGCATAATCCTGTGTCAACTTCACGCAACCGCCAAGTATAAACATGCGAAACAACATCCAAACTCCATGGAATGTTGCAGCGACAACATTAGGCGACGACATTCCACAGCAACATCACCCAACATTCATGTCCAGCTGCTTTCCCCCTACCTACATTCACCGAAAATCTTAATCATTTTTCATGCGCTTCTACGATTTCACAACAGAATCATTTTTTTGCGCTAACTTTTTTGCCTGCACGACTGAGTCGACGCGGCTATGCAACCAGCTCAGCAGTGCTACTACGGCTATATACTCTGGCATACTCTGGCTACGTCGGCTACGTGGCACGGTCCGGGCTTAGGGCCGCAGCGGCAGGCGACTGGGCCCTTCGTTTGCTCGGCCCGTGCTGTGGAACAGTGGGCGAGTCACAGCCAAGCGCAGTACTGGCAACGGCGAGTTGGATCGCGGCGGAAACAACACGCGGCGGAAACAACATTCCGCCAGCACCTCGCCCAGCCGGCGGCCGCTGCGTTCCTTACCGTATGAGTGAACAAGGTGGCGCACGAACCGCTGCGACCCCTCACTCCAAAGTCCACCTATCCCCGAGCCAAGGACCAGCAGTCTTTGTGGTCTCCGTGCAAGCTGAAGATACGTAGACCACCCGTGCAACTGCAAACTCCGAACCCAGGCGGCGCAACGTATAGCGTGCCGAGCAGTGTTGCAGCAAGGGTGCTCTGCAAAGCAACGCGTAGCAGGCACCACCGGCGGTACACCGAGCCAAAGCTAGCCGCTGCGCAAGGCAACAGGAGCGCGCAAGAGCTGGGCGACGATGCGGGGAGCTTCCGCGCCCCGGAGCCCGCCGACGACACATGCGACGGGTGGGCATGCCATCCAGGCCATGAATGTACCGACAATGGTCCGGACCTGCATCCGAAGCACTGTGACGCTCATGATGCCGAGATGCACGGGCCCTGCAAAGAGCATGCGTGGCGAGGCAGTGCGTGCAGAACCGACATTGGTATTGCTGCTCCTCCGGGGGCAAGCCGGCAGTCTTCTAAGAATCAAGGCCAACGCTCTATACAATGCATCTGGAAGGTGTCGCGCACATTCAACAGAGCCTCAGTTACCAGAACAACATCGGCACCTGAAAGAGCCAGGACATTATCATGGAGCCGCACCATTTCTTGACGAAGCAATTGCCCAATGCCCGGCACGCGAGCACGTCGCGCAAGACCTCCCAATGTGTTTTTTTTTTTTTTTTTTCCGAGCTTTTTTGCGAACGTCCAAACCACCTCGGTCCCTGTGCAAAGCCCAAAGGCAAAGCAACAGTCTACAGCAAAGAGCGGCAGAGGCGGCGCACGCAAAGCGCAGTAACACCACACGGCTGGCGAACGGGGGTTGGGAAGGAGAGTCGGCAAGGATGTCGCTCAGAGGTGGGAGCTCCCCGTCAAAATTTGCCGTGCCGGTATGGGGCAAGGACAACAAGTTGGCTGCGAAAAAGCGCGGGGCTGCATCGGAAAGGACCGCAAACCACCGGAGAGTGAAAGCCGAGATGGCGGCAGCGCGTGAAGGTGGCGGCACGGACCGTGCCCGGCACCTTGCCAGCAAACGAATAAAGGTCGCGGCCTCGGCAGTCCAACGGCCCCCAACCCTAACAGCGAGGACTGTGAGCCTGCAGCGGTTGGACCTGCACCGTTCAGGGTATGTCCGCTCTATCGCTCGTCTTGCAATTGCTTAGTAGTAGTAGTAGTCGTCGTCGTCGTCGCCGTAGTCGTAATCGTAGTCGTAGTCGTCGTCGTAGTAGTAGTAGTAGTAGCAGTAGTCGCAATAGTGGTAGTAGTAGTAATAAGAATAGTAGTAGCAGTAGTAGTAGTAGTAGTAATAGCGGTAGTAGTAGTAGTAGTAGTAGTAGTAGTAGTAGTAGTAGTAGTAATATTTGTAGTAGTAGTTGTTGTTGTTGTGGTAGTAGTAGTGGCGGTGGTAATAGTAATAATAAAAATAGTTGTAGTAATAATAGTAGTAGTAGTAATAGTAATAGTAATAATAATAATAGTAATAGTAATAGTAATAATAAAGTAATAGTAATAATAAAAGTAATAGTAATAGTAATAGTAATAGTAATAGTAATAGTAATAGTAATAGTAATAGTAATAATAATAGTAATAGTAATAGTAATAGTCATAGTCATAGTCATAGTCATAGTAATAGTAATAGTAATAGTAATAGTAATAGTAATAGTAATAGTAATAGTAATAGTAATAGTAATAGTAATAGTAATAGTAATAGTAATAATGATATTAAAGTGATAGTAATAGTAGTAATAATAATGATAATAGTAATAATAATAGTAATAGTAATAGTAATAGTAATAGTAATAGTAATAGTAATAGTAATAGTAATAATACTGATAATAGCAATAGTAATAATAATAATAATAGTAATAGTAATAGTAATAGTAATAATAATAAGAATGGTAACAGTAATAATAATGATCATCGTAATAGTAATAGTAATAGTAATAATAATAATAATAATAGTAATGGTAATAATTAATATAATAATAATAGTAGTAATAATAATAGTAATAGTAGTAGTAATAATAGTAGTAGTAGTAGTGGCGGTAGTAATACTAGTAATGGTACTGATAATAATAATAATACTAGTAGTAGTAGTAATAGTACTAGTAATAATAATAATAGTAGTAGTAACAGTAATAGTAAGAGGAATAGAAGTAGTATTAATAGTAGTAGTAGTAGTAGTAGTAGTAGTAGTAGTAGTAGTAGAAATACTAATAGTAGTACTAGTGCTAGTACTAGTACTAGTACTAATATTAGTACTACTACTAGTACTAGTACTAATAGTAGTAATAATAGCGGTACTAATAAAGGTAGTATTGATAATAGTAGTACTAGTATTAGTAGTAGTAGTAGTAATAATAATAACAATAGTCGTAGTAGTAGTAGTAGTAGTAATAGTAGTAGTAGTAGTAATAGTAGTTGTAGTAGTAGTGGTGGTGGTGGTGGTAGAAATAATTTTGTAATACTAATAGCATTAGTAATTGTAGTAGTAGTAATAATAAAAATAATAATAACAATAGTAATAGTAGTAGTAGTAATAGTAGTAGTAATAGTAGTAGTAGTAATAGTAGTAATAATAATAATAGTAGTAATAATGGTAGTAGCAATAGCAGCAATAACAATAGTAGTAGTTTTTTTTTTTTTTTTTTTGGGCGCACCTTTTTGCGACGGCAGAACGTGTCCGGTCGACCTAGAGTAGTTTGATGACCTACCGTTGCCTACCACTGAAGAGGGTGCACTCAAGGCACCACACTGCAGCTAGCGTGGGGGCAAGCGGCTTGCCGGGACCTCCTGGAGCCACCTGGCGTCAGCGAGGACCTCATGCAGGTCGGGCTCAGTGCCCTCGCTGAGCTCGGCAGCAGGAGGGAGTTCAAGCAGCGAGGCAGCGTACGCTCGCTGCGCGGCGACTGCAAGGAGGCCAGACCAGCGCGCTACCCAGGCGTTGATGGCGGTCGGGCGGAGGTGGGCAGGGACGGCTTCGGCTCGCTGGCGCGCCAGGAGTCGGAGCAACTGGGCAGCCTCAGCGCCGAACCTGCCTCCAACCTCGACACCAACTACAACGAGTCGGTGTCCCGGCGTTTACGCCTGGCGGCAGCCTCGACTGCATAGCCCGGCTGCACATCGGCTCGCGGATGGGCTTCGCCTCGCCTTGTAAGCGGGGAGACGATGGTGGCGTCGAGTGCGAGCTGGGAGCCGTGCCAGAGAGGGAGGCCGTTGGCGACGACCTCGATGCGCCTTTCATCACCGACTGGCGCGTCGAGGTTCATGTCGGCGAGGCGCACATTCCTCGCGACCCGCGCCCCAGCCTCGCGGCAAACTCGGGCGACAGCGTGCTCGAGCGGGAGAGCTCGGCTAGCAAGCACGCCGGATGTGGCGCACGCGGACCGGTGGTCGCCAAGCGGGTCGAGCAGTCCATGGCAGCGGCAGTGGCGAGGCGCGAGTGGCAAGGGCAGGCGCAGGCGCCGGAGGAGCAGCACCCGGAACAGGGCACTGGGGAGGGTGAGATCGTACCGCGTCGGCAAGGCGGTGATGGCGCGGGCCGCAAAAGGCCCAGCTTGCGACAGCAGCAATGCGCGAGATGCAGGGGGAAGGAAAGAAAGATGCAACTCGCAGATGCGCTCATCGCTAGCTCGGGCAGCGACCCGTTGCCAGCCGCGGAGAGGGTCGGCTGGCTCCTCACCTCGTCCCCGAGCAGGGGGTGCCTCGGCTCCTCCACTAACAGCGGACCATGCTGGTGCGTCGTAGCCGTTGTCACAGACGCGGGCCCGAGCCTGTGCCGCGGCAGCAGCGCACGGGAGTGGGACATCGCCTTGCAGCGCGCTGAGGAGGCGGTCAGCTGCGGCAGCGGCCCGGCGGCGGATGACGGGCAGTGTGTCGCACCACGATGCCCAATGCGCGGTGTGGCGGTCAGCGACAGCGGACCGCAGCCCAAGGCCTCCGAGTCGAAAAGGCAGCCGGGCTGTCGTGAGGCTGGTAGCGGGGATCGGCGCGTCCCCTCGTTCAAGCAAGTCGGCGAGGCAGTGCGCGATTGCGTCATCGTGTGCCTCGGCGAAGGAGGCGGTGAGGTGCGGGGGCAGTACTCGCAGCAAGTAGTTGGCACGAGGGGAGGCGCAGGAGTGCAGTAACAGCCACGCGGCCTGCAAGTCCTCGAGTTGAGGGAGGCGCTGCAGCAGCTTGTTGTGTTCCTCCCGCTTGCGTTGCAGCTGCAAGGCGACAAATCGATCATGCCCGAGCGGGGAACCGAGGACTGTGAGCCCTTGGCGCTCAGGAGGCAGCGACCAGTCACCAACCCAGACTGGCGCGTCAGGGTCAGAGCCAAGGGCGGCGATGCCGGGCGGCTCCTCCCCGGCGGCGTTCCAGATGCGGGTTTTGCCTTCATGCAAGCGGACACGTGCGTGCTCCCAGAGTGCGCGCGCTAAAGCGTCATACAATGGCTGTATACGCTCAGGCTGCGCGATGATATAGGTATCATCGAGGAAAGCAAACGCAGCTTCTCCGTCCGCGAGCTGGGTCTGCAGTTGGGCGAGGGCTTCATGCTGCGCCAGGGAGTATAGCGCCGGCATGAGTGGATCGCCTTGTTCACCGCCCTCTCCCTGGCGAACCTCATGGGCCTGCCCCGAGTCGTCGAGCCACGTGTAGGTGCTGGGAGTCCCGTAGAACTCGCGTAGGGGAGCAGAGGCTGGAGAGCCGGCCGCGCGAGGAGCGCGCCTAGCATGGACCCCCTCGCCACATGGTCGAAAGCCCCCACGGCATCGACAGACAGCACCGTGGCGCGCGGTGAAGACTCGGTGGCAGCCCGCAGGAGCCGGCTGACAGCCTCCGTGCCAGCGCAGGTGCTGAGGCCGAACTGGTAGGGCAAGCATGCCTCCTGCAGGTGTGCGGCGAACTGTTGTGCGAGGACCTTGCCGACAAGTCGGCGGAGGACGTCGCCGACAACCAAAGCACGGACGCGGCCATTAGGCTTGCGCAGCGCAACAAGGCGTCCGACTCGTATGCCTGCGAGGACGCAAGGGGGAACCCGCGCATTAACGAGACTGAGGGCAGCAGCGTGGAGGAGCCGGCTGTCCTCTTCATCATCAAGCAAGGTGCGGTGCTCGGCGGTGGTGCCAGACGGCCCGGCCGCAGAGCCGCGGCGGGCGCCGCGCAGGGCCGCGAGGAACGCGGGCATGGGCAAGGGACACTCATGCTCTGCTTGGAAGGCAAGCACCGCATCCGGCAAAGCGGCATACGGGTGCGGGGGGCGTTTGTCAGGGTCGGTGAGCTCGGCTAAAGTGTCATCGTTACCGGGCGCGAGTGGCTCGGCAGTGAGGGCGCGCGACGCCGCAGAGAGCTCATCGAGGTGGACAAGGGCGGGGGCACGGTGAGCGCGCGCTCCATCACTCGGTGGCGAGCGACCCTGCTGCGAACTGGGTGCTCCAGCGACACAGCCGGCGGCCTGCTCCAGCAGGTCAGCCCAGTCCCCAGCCCTGAAAAGCTCGCAGCGGCGGTCAAGCTCGGCTGCGGGAACGCTAGACTGGCCAGGCGAGCGGTGGAGGAGCATGCGAGGTGCAAGGCAGAACAGCTTCCACCCTCGCACCTCATGCTCGGGTGTTTCAGGGTTGACGATGCAGCGAAGGCCGTAGCGCATGGCTGCACGCAAGGTACCTCGCGTGCGCGAGGGGGCGGCCTGCAGCGTGAGGACACGTGTCTGGCACTGACCCTGGAGGCTGACAGCATCGAGGGACAAAAGGCCGCGCAACATGCTGTCAGCCGCAGCGCTGCTGTGCCGTGCGTGCAACACCTGCGCGCGCTGTGCCGTTGAGGGCGGTTCAGGGTCAGCGCGGGCCTCGCCCTGGCTTGCGAGCAAGTGGTCCGCAGGAGGTGGCGGGGGCTCACGAGCTCCGCGGCCCCGGGCGCCCCGGCCACGGCCTCTCCGTCCACGCCCACTTCCTCGTCGTGCACTGAGGGCAGCACGGGCGAGACTGGCATCGCCGTCCTCATCGGCGGTGGGTTGCTGAGGCACCGGGGCGTGCACGCTGGAAGTCTGAGGCGCCTCTGCGTTGACCGGCTCGGTGGCTGGGGCGGCAACAAGGCGGAAGGCATCAGAAGCGCGGTTGAGGTCAGAGGCGAAGGCAGGCCCCCCATACAGCTGCAGGCATGCTTCCTGGCTCGCGGCCGGAATGTATCCGCCTGCCTGGGCAAGGTTGCGCACGGTCCAGCCGAGATGCACGAAAGCACCCGCGGGCAAGGCGGCTGCCTCACGCAAGGCGGCCTCGGGGAGCGGGGCACCGGCGGCGGCGCTCGCAGTAATAAGCGCGTCCGTAAGGCTGCTCACAGAGACTGGTGGGGAGGTTGCAAGGGTTCGGCGTGCTGCATCCCACCATGGCTGCCCGCGTGGATCGCGGCGCCAACGCTCTAGGACAGGTTCTGGCATGTCCCCAGCAGCTGCATGCAGGAGGGGGACGTAAAGCCATGAGTTCGTGGCGAGCCTGTGGCAGTCGGAGGGCGGGCCCCAGGCTGAAGCAGGGGCGACGTTGTGCTGACCAGGGTCTCCGGCAGGCGCCTCTGGCGCTGGGACGGGGTTTTGTGGGCAAGGGCCACTTGCGGCCGCATTGGCGGGCGCACAGGCGCAGCGCAAGGCCCCGCTGCCGTGTCCGACGTCAAACTCCCAGACTTGTGGGCGACCGCAGTGCAGGCAGCACTCGCCGGCAGCAGCGGGGACGTAGTAGTAATAACAATAATAGTACTAGTAGTGGTGGTAATAGTAGTGATAGTAATAGTGGTAGTAGTAATAGTAATAGTAGTAGTAATAGTACTAGTAATAGTAATAGTAGTAGTAGTAATAGTAATAGTAATAGTAATCGCAGTAATAGTAATAGTAATAGTAGTCGTAGTAATAATAGCAATAATAGTAGTAGTAATAATAATAATAGTTGTAGTAATAGTAGTAATAGCAATAGTACTAGTAGTAGTAGTAGTAATAGTAGTATTAGTAATAGTAGTAATAATAATAGTAGTAGTAGTGGTGGTGGTGGTGGTGCAAATAATTGCAGTAATAATAGCATTAACAATAATAATAGTAGTAATCATATTAGTAGTAATAGTAATACTAGTAGTAATAGTATTAATAATAGTAATAGTACTAGTAGTGGTAGTAGTAGTAGTAATAGTGATAGTAATAGTAGTAGTAGTAGTACTAGTACTAGTATTAATAAAAATAATAGTAGTAGTAGTAGTAATAGTAGTAGTAGTAGTAGTAGTAGTAGTATTAGTACTAGTACTAGTGATAATACTAGTAATAATTTATATTAGTAGTAATAGTTGTAGTAGTAGTAGTAGTAGTAGTAATAGTACCAGTAGTAGTAGTAATAGTAGTAGTAGTAATAATAGTGGTAGTAGTAATAGTACTACTACTAGTACTAGTACTAGTACTAGTACTAGTACAATTACTAGTAGTAATGTAAGTAGTA